TCCTCGCGTGCTTCGAGGAGTTTGCGGCTACCGGCCCCGCCACCTTGTGAGTCTCCCTCGGCATCCCTCCCTCCCTCCCTTCCTCCCTTCCTTTAGAATCTCCTTAAGGTCTCACCTTTAGGTGTCCTTGCGCTACTGTGCCCACTCTCTTTGCCCAGTACTCTTTCATCCCCATGCCGTCCACCCCTCCGACCCTCCCGTTCGTACCACACCTCATGCCTTCCCTCCCTCCCTCTCTCCCTCCCTCCCTCTCACTCTCCCTCCCTCCCTCCATCCCTTTTCACCCACCTCACGTCCCAGCCTGGGCATCATCAGCGTCGAACGCCGGAATGCGGACGGTGTGGACGACTTCTTGGCGTGCGCCGGGGCCTCCATGCAGGTAAGACCCGCCCCTTTGACGAAGAGGCATGCCCTCTGTAGGTGTCAGCGCGTTCGCCCCTCTTCATGTCTTGTCGCTCGTCTTGTCGCGCTGGCTATCTCTTGAAACTTATTCTCTTTTTGGGGAGGGGAGGGGGTGGGTTTTTTTTCAGATTTCCTTGCTGCCCCTTTTCTTTCTTGCCCTCTCCCTTTCCTCTCACACCCCGCTTCCTCCCTCCCTCCCTCCCTCTCCCCCGGACTTTCCGCTTTTTATCGCAATCTGCCGAATCTGTGTGGTTTATGTATGGGCTGGGTGCAAGGAGGCGCGTAGACGTTCCTCCCACCGCCACCACTGACCCTTTCCCTCCTCTCGGTACCCCTCCTCCCTCTCGATCCAGGTGACGCAAGTGCTGAGAGACGAGGCTCGAGGGTGGTTCATCTACGAGCTGAGAAAAAAGGTGCCAGCATGAGGAGTGGAGGGGCCGACCCAGAATCGAACCCGGAACGGCCAGGTCGACATGGGGGACGAAAAGAATTGGCGACGAGGAGCGGAGCGAGGACGCCGGTGACAGCGTCGTACGATTGGCGGGAGGCGGGAGGGTCTGAGGTGAGGGGAACTTCCGGGTCGGAATTGAGGAAGAGAGGGGCAAAGGGGAGGAGTCGATGGAAAGAAGGGGTGTGGGTGAACAGGACTGTTGGCAGGAGCGGACGGTGGGATGCTCGTAGGGAGGTAGGGGTGGCAAGAGCGCTCAACTGAAGGAAGAAGCTGACTGTTGGAGGTGAGCCAGGAGGGAGGGGCATTACAAGCATCCGTGGGCCTCGGAATCTACACAGGCATGGCAGGCTCGTGATTTTGGGAGCGGTTGGGGGGGGTGTTGTACAGAAAGGGGGGGGGAAGACGAGGCTCTTGTGTCCGCGACTCCAGAGTCGGGTGTGGTTTGGAAAGAAAAGCAACTACAACAGTAGGATTAAAGGAGCCTCCACAATACCCTACGCCAGTCTCTCTTCTCGCCTTGAAATTTTCTCCGTCTCTCTTTCTTCTTTTTGGTTCACGGCGCCTCTCTCCTCCTGGCCCTTCCTCCCTCTCCGCACGCCCACGCCTCACGCACGCCTTCCCTTTGAGCTTCCTTCCCCCTTCCACCCGTCGACAAGGCGGTGAAAGGGGAAAAGACAAGGGAGGGACGCGGGAGAGATGGCTTCGCTCCTACGGCTCTCACAACCTTGAACCAAGAAGAGCTACGAAAAGCACAACCACGCACCCTAAACGAGCAATTTTGCATGACCAAGGAGGTCCCAGGCAAGCCTGAAGACTCCTCATCTCCCTCTCCACATGCACACAGATACAGAATAAGACGATGAGAATTTGATGAAGACACTCAAAACTGGCGACTCTCCCCTCTTTTGCGGCGCGCGGGAATTACAATATCGGACAGGCAGTCTTAGGCCGGTAGCTTGGTCG